TACAAGCAGTTCAAAGATACTTTTGGAAAATGTCTACCTTAGAACTGTAACATGAGGAAAAGAGCATAAACCATAACGCTACAGAACGAAAAGACGCCTCTTCTTTTGTTTTCTGAATCCAGAGCTAATCAGTCATAAACTCTTCTTAAGCCCCTTTCACATCAGGTCCTACTCTACTCTGCCCAGATATGGTTAAAGTGTTCACATTCGGGTAGCCTGGCTTTTTTCCACGTGCAACTGGTCGCCTTTTCAGTCCTTTTCCTAAGGCAGTCTAGCCTAAGTAACTAGACCAAATTCTGTCTTTGCAAAGTTTGGTCTAGGAACGCTCCATTGGAACCTATGTAGGCTGTAGTAGCTTTCTGGCTGGTCAATCACAGCTCTCTATAGTGGTTTCAAACTGATAGAGCGCTGTGATTGTTCTACAGTAGTGGGCAAATCACAACACTCTATCCACTTTATGGGCTAATCCGGGCCCTTTATTTGTCTGGTGGGCGGGATGATGCGACAAAGTGGACCAAGATGGCAACAGCTTGTTTGAAACAGCTTTTACATCAATTTTGGACTATTTGGACTTGGGCTTCATTAGAATCAGGAGCAGATGGATGTATTTAAGTCATTTATTTAGAAAAAGGATGCATTTTCACCTACTTCAACAGTGGACTGCCTGATTTACCGACATCCGTTGCAGTGAATATATCACGCTGTTCATTGTCCAGTAGCATGCAGAGATCGTATGAAAGACAACAGTAGAACCCACCCCATGACCGAGAGCCGTCGATGGAGCGTTTTCAGACTAAATTATATATTTATTTAATCTGGCTTGCCAGGCTGCAAGGTGTTCTGCTTCAGGCTGAACTGTCCCAATACACCCACTGCAGCTCAAATTCAGGCCTACCATTAGGGGGAGCCTCTGATTGGCAGATAGAATCAGCCAGTGGTGTTTCCCACGTGCACGATTCATTCATTCACACTGGTGTGTGTGTGTGTGAAATTTGTTCTCCGCATTTGACCCATCCCCTGGGGAAGCAGTGAGCTGCAGACACAGCCACGCACTGGAACCATTTGGTGGTTTAACCCCCCAATCCAACCCATTAATGCTGAGTGTCAAGCAGGGTGGCATTGGGTCCCATTTTTCTAAAGTCTTTGGTATGACCTGACCAGGATTTGAACCCAATCTCCCAGTCCCAGGGCGAACACTTGCACCACTAGGCCACTGAGCTGGTGACATGGGAGACACCACAGACTTTTCCATGCATCTTTTGCTCCGCCCACATGCTTGGAGCCTTCCGCCTTCATGAAAAGTATGTGTGAACATACTCTACCAGTGTGGGATCCGGACCGACGCCATCCAGCCCAAACTGGACCGGGTCAGATGTGTAAGCAGCATTAGTCATACCTAGTCTAGAAATCTAGACAAACTGTAGCAGTAGCAAAAGATTTACTTCTATAGGTCGGTCTAGCCACACCTCCCAAAAAGGATGTATTTGCTTCTTCTTCATCTGTGTATGGCAGATTCCACCACTGACTGATTTTCGTAGTGATGCCATGTTATTCATTGCTCTGATTGGTCCTAGCGTTATCCAATTGCATTCAGAGACAATTTGAAAGACGACAAAAGATTCCGACCCATGACCGAACTCTGTGTCATGGACTATGTATTGACATATATAGGATGGCTTGTCAGACTAGTTCATATCAGTTAAGAGCTGGAGGTTCCAGACTTAACCACCACCACATTTTTTCTTGACTTTTATTTTAAGACTTTTGTTTGCATCAGTTTTCGAACTAAGCAGAAATGTTTTTCAGCTGAATCTGTTAAACTATGATATCATCCAATCGCAGAACATTTGCATTTTCAAAGAAAACAAGAGGCCATTTTTAAGTATAGCCTACATTTCAACTATCTGAAATCCTTTGTTGATTTGTCCTTCAATGCCATGTCAGATGTATGGTTGAAATAAGGGAAAAGGTGGAAACCAGCTGTGGTATACTGTTGCTGTCATCTGGACTTTAAAAGTCTAACATTCAATTAGAACCTAACCTTTCTGGGAGGACATGTGTTGAATTTATTCACCACTAAATTCACTTCACAACCAGCATCAAGACGAATCCCTCCAAACTGTCGAAAAGCTCACAGTGATGCATTACATTAGATATCCCATAATAAATCCAATCTGCAATAGTACAGACAGGAAATTGAATTTACTGACAGATAAGAGGCTAGATGTTCATCTGTCTCTGTCATCTACTGAGATGTGCTAGAGCCTAAACTGGATTGAAATTATGAGAGGGCAAAAGGGGTCTTTTGTATCTCGCCAACCGCAGGGGTGCGTTTGATGTGTTTGTATTTATGGGCTTGATTGTGGCACAAACAGGTCAAACACGAATCCTTGCATCAAAGCACCTGGGTATAAAATGGCTGCTTTGCACTCAGAACATAAGAGGGACTCACATTGTGCTGTATAATTTATTACTGTGCACTGAATATACTGCATATTTCCACATGGCAAAGCAGTGATGCACTCTGCCATGTGACGCCTTTTATGAACGATTGTCCACCTTACATACAATTTCAGAGAAACATTACTGCCCTCTCAAGTATTCTGAAAAACATTTTACCTTTTAAATGAAGCAAAATCCTGTTGTCATCTTAAGTTTGGTTACAGGTGGTGGTCAGTTCATGCATCTGTCAAATTTTACCCCCACTTTGTAGACATTAAAGCTGCAGTAGCTAATTTGGAAAACGAATTAGCTTGAAACATTTTTTCATGCCTCTTAACAAGATTCTAACATAGTGTAGCTATAAATATATTGTTGAGATTTAGGCCCTGTCCACACGTAGCCGGGGATCTGCCAAAACGTAGATATTTTTCTACGTTTTGGCCTGTCATCCACACGAAAACGGAGTTTTTTCACACGAAAACGGATCTTTTTAAAAACTTCGGCCAAAGTGAAGATCTGCGTTTTCTCCGTTTTGGGTGTCTGCGTGTGGACAGACAAAACCGGAGTTTTAAGGTCCGCAACGTCACTTTCCGCGACAAAAAAATGCTGACATCACGTGTGTGACCTGTGTTTACACTAGTCGGCATCATGGAAGCCTTCAGAGCTGCGCTCTGTCACTACCCGATCCATCAATTGTCCAAGCGCTTTCTGCTTGTTTGTTTTTGCAAGCAGAATTACTGCTCCTTGCGGAAGACCACAGACGAAGGACAAGGTTAAGAACGGGGGAAGTACTGCCACCTACAGGTCTGGCATGTCCTTAACAACGTATTTATCCGGGTACGTGTGGACAGAGTTTGTTTTTAAAACGCGGTGGTGTGGATGCAAGTTTTTGGAGGGGCGGATATTCGTTTTTAAAAAACCCCGGCTACGTGTGGACTAGGCCTAAAATTAAAGAATAAAGTTCTTCTCACGCATTTGTCTGAAAACCCCCCACTAATAACAAGTTTATAATAAGTTTCAAACTGAAACCAACCATTGGACCATCCGGTTGTTGGACGACCCGCTGCACTTCCCTGGGTCCTCCATTCATTACGTACTCCAGTATTTAGCTACAGAAAACCACAGATGTGTGAGGTTCTAACTCCATAACATTAGAGAAGGAGAAACAGCCGGCTGCTACCGCTTCAACTTTAGGACAAACTACCAGAGAGCCAAAAAGAACAATACCATTTGAAGTCACGGACAACAAAAGACGTTTGGACCTAGAAAACGGCAACTGATGTTTAGCGCTTGCTTGTTTCCTATGCCAATGCGGGTTTCCGGCAGAAGTGTCTCAGGAAGGCTACCCGAAGGGAGGGGTGAGTGTTCCAGCACAGTGTTTGCATTCAAAACCTAGCTTGTTCTGTAAAGTTGCTAAAGCAGTTTAAATGATGTTTCGTACCAAGAAAGTGTTATAATTCTGCACCAATGTACTTACCATATTTATGGCTGGGTGCATGTTTTGGTTTAATTACAGTTGAGGAAATATTCACACAACATGCAAAGATGACCAGGGCAATTGTATCAAAGTGGATGTAGAGGTGGGACTTATGACTCTTCAAGGGGAGCCTTTCATTTGAGAATCATTTATCTCAAAGAGCCGTACAGAAGACGGACTCTTTCGAACTTTGTTCTTCTGTGGGAACGGTGAGTTGAAGCATTGACAAAATGGTATTAAGTGGGTTTAGACCTCTGGCAAGTCTTCTTTATAAAGCCATTACCGGTATGGATGGACATATATTGACCAAATCTGCTAAAGTATGACTTGAAGTAGGTCCAAACTGACCAGGACCTTCTTGGATATACAGTGTAGTGATGCTCCCTGGAGAATGACTTTATCGTAGTTTAGAGCCTCCCAGCCCATCTGGATCACTTACAATCTTAAAATCATTTGCTTCTCCACTTAGACATCAGCTTTCATTTCCCCAAGCTTTATAAACCGACATTTAACGTGCAGAATCAGTAGACAAGTGACAAGGTTTTGGTACAAGTCCAAGTAGTATTGACTTGGCACTTCTGGGCATTTTATTGGAAGCTGGTAAAAATTGGGTTTCAAAGAGGCTGGAAAGGCCCCAAAATCTTAGTATTCTGCCCAGAACATTGGTCAAGTGTGATGTCAAAGTCTTTAACGCAACACCGTTCACATTCCTTCAACACACTTACAATAATGATCAAAATGTGAACGGAATCAATTGACATGTTTCAGGAAATTAAACCAAATTTCCTTCTTAATAAGCTTAGCACAAGTAGAAAATGAGCAAGTTCACTATGCAACAGTAAAAATAGATAATAAAAAGTCAACAATAGGACTTGGGGTCTTACGTTTGTCAGCATCTCATTCTACAGAGTCAGCTTTATTTTACCCATCACCACTCCCATCTTCATCACTCTGTTACTCTTAGTTGCCTCAATGCACTTTGACTCCCCTGTTTGCCTCCTCCTCATCTTATTTCCTTCCTTTGGTACCCCCTTTTCCTCCTTCTGCATTCTCTTCCGTGTCCTGCAAAGAGACTCGGATGAACAGAGGACAGAGATGGAGCATCCGTCATCCATCTGCTCGCCTCCCTCCATCCCTCCCTCTCATTTCCATCCTCCCGCCCTTCCCTGCTGCAGCTACGATCGCTGCTCTGAAATGTGAAGCACATACAGTGGGCTTGCTGCAGCCTAAATTATCCAGCCGAAAGGACTGACTTTTCCTAGAGGTAGGAGAGCGGAGAAGGGCAACTATATGTATCTCTGTCATCACTTTGGACGGCTTGTACACAAAAAAAAACAACAACCAGGAATGGGACCGTCAGTGCACTGGATGGGGCTCCAACATTGATGATACTTGCTGCTGTTTGAGATTATTTAACAAATCAGGAGGAATTCTGAATTCTGCATCTAGATACTTTTGTTGATCCTTGATCCGGGTTGACACTGGATTGTTTCAGCTTTGAGCGTGAAGGGATTCGGAAGTGGATTAGAATGCTGATGAGGCAAAAACTGAGCTTTGGGACATAGAGCTCTGTAACAGGAGCATGCGGACATGTTTGGATTCTCCAAGAAGCTGCCTGGGTGAGTACATGTATTGATTTAGAAATTTAAGCATCATTCTGTTAAATTTGTTTGGCAAGAAAGTGCGGAAAATTAGTCAAAGTTCATCATGTTGCCTCATCTAACAAAAGCATGGAGCGTGTCGCCTACAAAGTTAGAAAACTTTTGCAATAAAAAAACTACTGGAAAATGCCTCGTTTTAACCACCAAGAGTACTTGGCATGATTTTCTGTTGTTTAATAAATGGTTAAAAATTTACACAAATTGCAAGTGAAGAGACAAGGAAAGTATGGAAATACCAACTTCATAGGACGTCCCTGTTTGTAAATCTACCCTTTTTGTTTTTTGCGTAAGGATGCAACCCAGCTCTTTGTTTAACCAAGTTTTTCTATGAAACTTCAATGTACATTTATTCTTTGCTTTAAAGCTGCAGTAGCAAATTTGCAAACAAGCTAGCTTTTACACACAAACCCGGTCACGGAACACTCACATCTCCCCATCGGGTGTGATCAGTGTGCACATAGTTACCCTGAGATCTAATATTCAACCCTTGCAGGCAGAAAGCTGCCAACTCTCACGCACTGAGCGTGAGACACATGCATTTGACCCTCTACACACGCTCTCACGCCACTCCTCCAATATCTCACGCTAAGCCAGCGCCTGCGCTACCCGAACGCGCATCACGCACAGTGTGTAGTTCATGAAAAATAAAAACAGATGATATTAATTATAGCATTAGCTACTGAACATGCACACAAACAACACTTAAGTAATAATTTAACTGGCATTCATTCACACACAGAATCCCGTCTGTATAATCCAAGCCGATGTGCTTTTCTCCGCTCTGGTGGTGAGATGGGCGGAGCGGTGAGCTCCACCTGCTGTAGATGGGACGGGCATGCCTGGTTCACCCAGAACCGTGAGCTGCGGCTGTGCGCGCCGCCAAAATGACATGCTATATTTAGAAATGCAGCCGCGTGGCCAGCCGATAGTTGACGGAGTTTCAGTCCCGAATGTTTTTCTTTTGTTTTCCCTCATCAGATACAGATCGCTCGCTACTCTCACTCACAGCAAGCTGGGCTTCCTACCGTGGTGACTCACTCACACGTTCCCTCTCGTACGTTAGTTTGTGACGCGGTGAATTAAACCATTAGGAATCCTGATGTTTTAATTCACCGCTTCACCTGTTTGTGAGACAAACCCCTTCTCCATAACCAGGTTACTTGTACGGAAGCCTGGAAAGGCCAAAATTCCTCAAACGTTTTTTTTCCCTACTGGCTGATATGAATAGAATAGAATAGAATAGAATAGAGTAACTTTTATTAGTCCCACAGTGGGGACATCCACTCATTACAGCAGCACACACACTTAGAGACAAAGATTACAGTAAAACTGAGTCCAGCCATGTTTGCTTTGATAACTTCAACAACTTCATGCTGATGACCCACATGAACATAATCCTCTGTTTAGTGGATGCAAGTAAATCATGAAGTTAGCTTAACATGGTAGATTTTTTTTTCTTGGCAGGAAAACATAACTGGTAATATTATGAATGACATGATATTATCCACCCCTAGATGGAATTTAAAACATTTACATTAATTATAATTAAAATTTCCTGTGTGACATTTGTGACGTGTAGCTGTAACTCTTTACTGCAGACAGACAGTCAGACAATGTGAAGAGGTTCAGGAGGGTTGGATGTTAAATTTTCCTTACGAAAATAAATTTTTTTAAACAAAGGTCAGTTTCCTCTGTAAAGTCAGAGGTACGGAAGAGGATTAGAGCCACTGATGAGAAAAGAAGAAAAGAAAAATAATTCAGACTTTTTTCTCTTTCTTTTCTTTATTTTTTCGTGTCAGTGGCTCTAATCATCTTCCGTACGAAGTTGAAATAAATAAATAAAATGTAGAGCACAAAAAGTCTCAATATTAATCCCCCCCCCATGCGCTCTAAAACAGTCGGCAATTAGTGCACTCCCAACCCCATGACCCAGTCTCACTCTTTGAAATGTTCAAAAGTTGGCAGCCCTGAGGCACACCCTCTAAAGTAATACCCTGGGGCACAAATTCTGAGCCATGCTTGTGGACGGAGTTACCAAACTCATGGGGGGAAAAAACTGCTCTCACAAGCTGCAAATTAGGTATTGTCTTAGAAAAAAACGTTAATACCTTGGAGATTGCAGGGATTAAGCGGTTTGACTATTAACCCCGGTTAACCCCCCCATAAAGACATCTCCAACACCACCAATAAAAAAACAAAAAGACAATGGTGCGACCCACATGGACAAAAACAAAAGTGAAACTGAACTCGAACACGCACAAGCAGCCGAAGCAGAACCAGTGACAACAACCATTGGAACTGCTCCATTTTCACCTAGGAAGCGGTTGAGGTCCCTTGTGTGGGAATACGTCTAATACATCTAAAATACCCTAAAAAATTTTATGTAGTGGTAAATTTAAGAAAAACATCCATCCTTTTAGGTCAAACTTATTTCCTGGCTAAAGGAGTACAATCTGTGCTCCGTGTCTTACAGACGTTCATGTCATTTAGTTTTATAGTCCTTTATAAAAACCTTTGCAATAGGAGACATGTTTAGAGAGGTGAAAATAGATAAGTAATAAGATGTAATACACATATGAAAGGTGACCAGCTTTGCTCACCTTTTCTTCTTTCACACTTTCTCCTTATTTACATTTTCTTTCTTTGTTTTATTCATTTAAAAAGTCTTTTCCCAAGGGCGTTCCAAACGGGTCATAAAATGCTTTGTTTCCATATCATGGCCCAATGATGTAGATGATTGTATGACACAAGAGCAAGTGGGTAAACTGTATGCTTGTGTATATATTCATATTCTAGCCCTTGCACGACATCTCATTTGCATACATAACTTTAGTTTCTTTGAAGAAGTGCTCCTCTGCCCTTTGCTTCCCCAGAGAACTTCCCATTGCCTTTTTTTTACATCTTGGAAGTCCAAGCAAACACTCTGACCAGTTCTTGTTTATCTCAAATAATTATAATATGTTTATATATTTTAGTTTTGGGATCTTTCTAATTGCACACAAGTAAGATATTTATCACAAAATCAACCTAATGTGTCAACTATGAATGTTCTATCAACCCCAAGACAAAATGACACAAACCATATTGGTGTTTGTTTTGTAGGAATTTTCTTGGCTTTACTGTGCAAACATTTGGCAGAGAAACTAGCCAACACTGCTTGTTTTTGTTCTGTGTATCAGATTTCAGGAACGTGTGCCAACTTCCCTGCCGCTTTATGCCAGTGCATGTCGCTACTAGTGAAGGCAGAGTCCCATTGTACCGAGGGCCCAATGACAAGTGTTTTTAACGGTCTCTACATGGATTTTGCAGATAGTCGTATAAATATTTAAATTGTATTACATTTTCAGCATTTTAGCATCTGTTCCGTAGTACTTGCTAGCATCGATTTTAGACCAGCTGAAATCTGAGAGAACAACTTTTATTAATCTATTTAGAAAATTTTTCTCTTTTTTAAATTTTATTTTAAAATTCCAAATATATTTACGCTCAACTCCATATGAAAACTTTGGAATGTTTAGGTTAACTAAGATAACATTTGAGTTTTAAATCTACAGCTAAATATTCTTCCCTGAGCATTAAGGAAACAGTTTTGAAACAAGATGGTGAACTGTACAGGTGAAACTCCAAAAATTAGGATTTGGTGCAAAAGTCCATTTATTTCAGTAATTTTACTTCGACTGCGACCCCATCTGAAGGCTCAGGGACCTTTTGCAGGTCTTTTAGATTAATTAGCTGATTAGAGTGTGAGAATTGAGCCTAGAATATTGAACCTTTAACAATATTGTTTATCTCAAATAATTATAATACATACATAATTATAAATACAATAAAGTTGATCTCACCAAATAGAATATTTACTAAGACATCACAATAGAACTATAGACACATTTGTGTGTGTGTGTGTGTGTGTGTGTGTGTGTGTGTGTGTGTGTGTGTGTGTGTGTGTGTGTGTGTGTGTGTGTGTGTGTGTGTGTGTGTGTGTGTGTGTGTGTGTGTGTGTGTGTGTCTGCTCTGTCTTCTTGATCCCCAGTGAGTCGTGGAGGATGACTGCTTATACTGAGCCAGGATTCTCTGGAGGTTTCTTCCTGTTAAAAGGGAGTTTTCCTCTCCACTGTCGCTGCATGCTTGCTTAGTATAAGGATTGCTGTATAGTCACTGACACTAGTCAGTGACTTGATGCAATTTGCTGGGTTCCTTATATAGGAAACATTATTTCTGATTGGCTTAATGAACTGTGAATTGGAATGTTTATTATGTGAAGTGCCTTGAGACGACTCTTGTCGTGATTTGGCGCTATATAAATAAACTTGAATTGAATTGAATTGAATATTCTACTTTTTTTTGTTTTACCTGAAATATGATACAATACAATATGATGCTATATGCAATTATGTGTTACAATCAGGTATGATAGAATTTATAAAAAGCTAGAAAAAACATACAATATAATACAACTCAATTTATTTCGTGCTGAAAAAGATGATACAATATGATAAAATGTAATATGATACAACATGCAAGACAATAAGCTATGATGCGATACGTTGTATAACATGGTAAAATTACAACAGTGCAATACAACAATTCAATTCAATTTATTTATATAGCGCCAAATCACGACATCTCAAGGCACTTCACATAATAAACATTCCAATACAGGTCAGTTCATTAAGCCAATCAGTAAAAAGTTGCCTATATAAGGAACCCAGCTAACTGCATTAAGTCGCTAACTACTGTCAGTCTTTATAGCGATCTGCGTACTAATCAAGCATGTAGCGACAGTGGAGAGGAAAACTCACTTTTAACAGGAAGAAACCTCCAGAGAATCCTGGCTCAGTATAAGCAGCCATCCGCCTAATAACCTAGTGTCCATAAGATGGAATTTATTCTAGATATGAATTTTTATTGTCTTATGGTCCTTAATTAAATGTAATTAACATCTATCATTACATAATGGT